AATATTTAATTTTAATATGAAATGAAAGTGTTTATTATTTAAACATCTAAATAGAGTAATTATGCTTACTTAAATAGAGTACATTTGTCTAGAGAAAATTTGTTTAAAGAGCATGGATATCTTAAAATGACTCTAATATATTTTCATTTTCAGTAAACATGTTTATTGAATACTACAGAAAGTTCCCTCCAGGTATACACTTTGATGTGCAAGTGCTAAACGACCTTCTGACTTCTTTACTCAAGCACTGTTTATTGAAAGAAGTGTTTCAGCTATTGAACCTCATGATAATGCTTAAAATATTGGTAAGTAACCTTAAGAAAAATTATACACACGTGTGTACATGTGTTTATATACACACATTAATTTTAAGTGAATGTTATATTTCTTGTTGGTATAATTTATCAATTAACATTTTTGTATTTGAACACTTCCTAGAAAACACATATATTCTAGCATACACAAGTGCGAGAAACTTAAGATATAGGAAAGAAGATATAAAAATGCATGTAATTTTTTTGTGTCATGCAGCCTGCTCTGAAAATATTATTAAACATATTTGAACATGTGACAACTATGAATTTAAGGAATGCTGTACCTGCTTCAATTGATATATTTTGCAAGGTATGATTTTATTTTCTCTCTTATTCTCTGATAATGAAGAACGAAAGGCATAATTATTTCCATTTACATCCTAAAACTTATGTTGATTCACAACCTGGATGCCAAAGAATTCTATTTTGGGAAAAATTCCTTTTTTCCTGAAATAGCTTTTATAAAAAGATTCCAATGGCTGACAAGCCTTCCCTTAAATAAGTAGTTCCAAGCACTCGAGGTGACTATTTTCTGATTCAAAAACTGTACTCATCTCTACTTCACAGATAATTAAAGAAAATTCTCCTTCCCCCAAAAGACTAACATAGATATAAAACTGGAAGAAAAAGGAAGTGGCCTCCAGAAGAAGGAAAGTGGACTGAAAAGCGTGATGGTTAGGGATTAGTTTCAATCCAACTCTAACCGAAAAAGGAGAATAAGAACTGTTAAGGCTCTCATAAAAATATTATTTAAATTTTGGCTTTGGAAAAAGGCCCAACTTTCTTTAGAAGTAATATTGAAACCACTCCAGTAGATGAATAAGTATTTGAGTGAATACTTCTATTACAAATTACAAAATTTGGCAATTATTTGCTTGGAAATTTTCTGAAGCAGAAGTTACCGTGTCCCCTCCAGTAGTCATAGCAACTGTGTAAGGACCTTATAAACTGTCTGATAGTGAGTGGTTTGGCTCTCTGCCAAATGTACTCCAATTACTGTACAAGTAAAGTTGCTAATAATGGAGAATGCCTGGCAAAGACAGTGGCCTTATTTTTGCATGGCTAATGTGGAGTCATTATGTTTGGAAGTTGTTTAATACCAGTACCAATTTCCCTGTTGAGACTATTTCAGAGCTCAGTGCTGACTGAGCCTGTATAATTACCCCAGGGGAAGATTCTTGTCCTCTTTCCTGTTGGAGCAGTGTACATACCCCCCCCCATCTAATTACCATAAGAAAGGCACAATTAACAGCTTATTTTATACAGCTGTTAGGTTGTTACCTAGTTTGTCAAGAAACAATTTTTATTTATCCTGGGTTTTGGGCAATGTTAAAAGGCAGATTTTTTTAAAAGCTATATCATTAACTAGAACATAAAATTGTTCTCTTGCTAGTTTGGCCCTGTCCATTAAGGAAAAGTCACTGTATGGTCAGTGACATTTACAGATGGACCAACAGAAGACCTCTTGAATGTCCTGGAGCTTAACAGTGAATAATCTGGGGACTTGTTTCTCCACTTTATGAAATCTGGATAACTCTGTCAAGCAGTGAATTTGGCAGGTTAAAGAGAAAAGCTGTTTCCCAGATTTTTTTTAAGATGAAATTGAACATGCTTTGAATCTAGAGGGCCTGATATAGATAGCTTAAGGAGTGAAGAGGGTGACGTGGCCTCTGACACAAATGAGAGGCTTTGGTGTGCACTGGGACGGTGTGGGGGTTGGAGAATCTGTGAGCAAGAAACACGGAAGGGGAACCGTTTGGAATGGCTGGGCACTGTTTCACTTCCAGCTGGAACCGTCATTCCTGCCTTTTGATAATAGGGAATAGGGCTGAAGGGATCATCTGGAATTGCTTCCTCCTGAACAGGGCTGGGGAGAGGTAGATAGCTGTCCTGTCTAGGCATGGTCCAGTGAGTGCTGCAGGGGTTGAAACCCAGTCATAGACAGCTCCGTGTAGATTTCAATGGTGTTCCTGCAAAAAGTTTTGAAAACAACAAAGACAAGGCCCGCAACACAGTTATACATATTAAGCTGAGAGGTCTCATGAGTGACAAGAGCCATGAGGCCCAAGATTTCCAGGAGCCAAAGATACTTTTCCATATGGGTCCTGTCTTCCCTAACTCCTTTAGTCGGTCAGTGTTGGCTTCATTCCTTTAGTTGTTTTACCTCTTGTGTAACTATGCCCGATTGATTAACAGAGTAACAACATTCCTCCTAGAAAAATACAAGTACCCCTTTTTCCAGCAGTGCGCAACTGCAGGGCTTGCCTATTTGCTAGTCATACCTGCTTGGGAATTAATTTGGGTCTGTAGTGTTAAAAGAGTGTCGCCTATCCCTCCATATCAATGCTGTTCTCTTGGTCGTTTGAAGTTAAAACAAGTAGCAGTTTTCATTTCTTTCACTCCATTCCCAGAGGTGCTGCTGTACTCGTTCCAAGGGGAACAGGGCTACAACTACTCTTGTACAGCATCGATTTGTACTTCTGTATGGGGTAGTCCATGCCTCATTCATCTAGGAAAGTCATGCCTGGAGTAAAATATAGGGGGATGCAAAATCCTGTCCAGTCAGCCTGTAGACAGGTGTAGACAAATATATCACATGGGAAAAATATTCCAGGCGAGGCACATTGAGTCTCAGTATTTGGCCAAAAGAGGGTTTTACTACAAGTGTTGGTAGAGACATTACCTATGGATTGTAACCCTTCAGGGGCCAGGAGGCAGACAGCATCCTGATTAAAAATGAGAGGTACTTCAGTGACCATTGGTCTGATGGTAGGGGATTTTTAATTGTCTCGGTTATATTGGGCATTACCCACGAAGATGGAATTAGAGATGCTAGGTAGCTTCTTTGTCGGACAGAGAGGCATAACCAACACTGGTGTGCATCATCTGGCTAAGAAGTTGGTGGGTGGTGTTAAGGAGAGATGAAATTGATGTTTGGGAGTCAGCTTGTTGTGGTGTTTTTGAGTCTGGCTAGGCCTATTGGTTTGTACGGAGCCAGGGTTTTAGCTATCCTTGAGTCCTATGATGCCAGTCTGGGTTGTTTGTTTCGCATCTCCGTCTCTCGCTGAATCCTTCCCTAAACCTTTTAAGTTCTGTATTTGGTCCCGTACAGGCATTTGGTCTTGTACGAGAGGTTCGTAGAACCAACAGACACACTAACTAGGCATTGTGGGACACCTGGTTGGTTTTGTGCCCGCCCAAACTTTGGTTATTCTGCCTGTCCAAAACTCTGTACTTTCTTCCCGGCACCTATAAAACCATGCAGGTTTTGCACATTCATTGGGAAAGATTATAGGGTATATAAAGGATGACGTTGCCCCATGTGTCCAGAGGAGTATCTGTTGTCAACCTCTTAACATAAACATGAGGGAGCACCTAAAGGTGCGAGTATAGCCCAGTATACTTCTATAAGTAGACATTTTGGTGTCAGCACCAATCTTGCAGAAACAGCTCCTAGACCAGTGGTTCTCAACCTGTGGGTAGCGACCCCTTTTGGGGTCAAATGACCCTTTCACAGGGGTCGCCTGATTCATAACAGTAGCAAAATTATAGTGATGAAGTAGCAACGAAAATAATTCTATGGTTGGGGGGGGTCACCACAACACGAGGAACTGTATTAAAGGGCCGCGGCATTAGGAGGGTTGAGAACCACTGTCCTAGATGGATGCCAAAAAAGGAACCCAGAAAGAAGGCCCCAATGAGACCTATGATGGTAAAGGGGCTTCCTGAGACTAGACCAGAGCAGTGGCCTATCAGGTAAGCTAACAGCAGGATCTCTAATGGTAGAAGAGATGGCGGGCTAGGCAACAGACTAAAAGGAATGAAGAAAACTCAATTTCCTCACAGGAAAGTATCATAAAGGTACCCTGTAACCAGAGGTCTTCAGTCCACAGCAAGACGACTTCAGGGCTGCTATCGGGAAGACGGGACCAGGTGATATCCCCGATAACGCACTCAAGGAAGGCCTGAAGCGGGCGCTGCAGAGGTGTGGGCTTCTCTGTCCTTGGGAATTTGATAGAGCCTGTGAGGTCATTTGAACTTTGTTGGTCCTAATACCTGGGAGGAGTAGGAATTGGTAGGTAGATTAATTTCCCTATTACATGGAGTAGTTGAGGAGGATGGAGGTTTGGAAAGGAAAGGTTTGATCATTGAAAGGTGATACCAGGAAGGTTTTCCTGACAAGCTTTACTCCTGTGGGAGTAGTTAGAAGGACCATATGTGGTCCTTCCCATTTAGTTGCTAGGGGACTGGGGGCCCATTTAGTTGCTAGGGGACTGGGCTGTCTTGATTTTAGTAATACTTGTTGTCCTGGAGAAACTGATAAATGTGTTTCCTTGGTGGGATAAGGTTGAGGTAGGTGCATGTGTACGTGTGTCCTGAGATATGTCTGACAAGGTTTAGAGAGGGTGTATAATAGTCTCCTAAGGGATGTGATGAGGAAGGGAAGCTTCCTATAAGGAAGAGTCTGCCGCACAGTAACTTGAAGAGGCTGAGAAGAAGTTTGCTAGGTGTGGCTCTTCACACATATTAAGCCAGGAGGTGAGAGCTGAGTCCTGGGCAGATGAAGTTCAACAGATAGTTTGGATAGGTGAGATTTAAGGATGTGATTGGCCTTCTCTACTTTTCCTGATGATTGAGGCCAGTAGGGTACCTGTAGATTCCATTGTATGTTGAGAGCCTCAGCTGTGTGCTGAGTTACTTGTGAGATGAAGGTGGGACCATTATCTGATTGTAGGAAGGCTGGCAAGCCGAAGTGGGGAATGATTGTGTTGCCCCTTCCGAGGTTGAAGGAAATGCTTCCACCCATCCCGAGAAAGTGTCAACCATTGTGAGCAGGTATCTGACTTTTTAATGAGGGGACATGTTTGTCAAGTCAATCTGTCAGTCTTGTCCAGGACATGTCCCCTTGTCTGGTGGGTGGGAAATGATCGGGGATGAATTCATCCCTAAGATGATGTCCTGGAGCAGTAGTACATCCTTGTGTGATTTGTTGGAGCACTGTGGAAAGGTGAGGGTGAGAAAAGATGGGTTTTATTAGTTGTAAAAGATGGTACATGCAGAGTGTCATGGACGTCAGAATAGACATTCCCTTGGTGTCTGGTAAGATGTATCAGGCTTCCGTCATGATCCATCCATCTTTGAATTGAGCCCCTTTAAAAAGAAATTCTTGTTTTTCTGTAGGGGTGTGGTTAGGATGGATAAAATGGATGGCTACTAGTTATAGATCCAGGTGAAGCTTGTCGGGCGGCCTTCTTGACCTCAGTGTCTGCCCTGTTATTTCCCACTGCTATAGCATCCATGGCCTGTTGA